AGTACCGCGTAGAGACAATCAAGCTGATTTATCGCGCAAAATACCTCACTGCTTCAGTCCAGCTCTTCGATGTGTCACTTTAAATCACAAACGCGGGATTAAATAGCAAATAAAACTATAAGATCAGGGGAGCACGCGTGTGTGTGTGTGTGTGTGTGTGTGTGTGTGTGTGTGTGTGTGTGTGTTCGCTCGCGCGTGCGCGCCAGGACCGAGTGGAAGGATTCTGCTTAGCGTATATGAAGGGGAAAACCAAAAGAGCCCGTCACTCCAGCCCAGTACCCCCATCTTTTGCAGCATGGGCAAGTGACTTGTAAATGCAAGTTGGCGCAAAATAAAGTCTGAGCAAAGCTAAAGTGTGAGAGAATCCAGCGTTAAGGAACAGTCAGGAAAGACTGGGTTCTTTTGTAGGCAAAGTAAAATTTCCCTTTTTTAAAACGGAAAGAAAACGAATAGCATTAACTGAGGCCAGATCTAAAATGATGCTTTTCAATGCAGGCGAGTGTTGAAGAATGCAATGGGAAGTTCCTGGGCGAACATCTGGTGAAGACATTCTAAGAACACATCTGAAATGAAGAAAGCAGTAAGAGCCTTCTTTTACAGATCGTCTGTACCAAAAGGGGAGAGGGGTGTTAAAACTTTGTTTTCAAACTGTGTTTTAGTCTCAGAGGCCATCTGCTTTGTGGGTAGAAGACTGACCCCAGTGCATAAGTAGAGTTCTGGGTTCTCTGCTAGCCTGAGCATGAGCAAGTCTCCCCTTTTCAATGGCTCCTTTTCCTCTTCTGTAAAAATACAGAAGGTAAATGGTTTTTCTTGGCATAGTGGCTTCAGGACTTCATTTAGGTGACGAGGCTTACTCAAGAGAGAGGGCACACTTCAGGTGGTCTCTGTGCAGAAGGATAGGACTCAATCCTTAATGTGGAGAACTAGCTCTCAGTGTGTTTAGCACATAATGCATGCTGTCTGAGAATAGTAGTGTCACATGGCTCTACATCTGAGGAAGAGGAGAAAGACTATCTAGATCAGTCAAAAGGATTTGCAGGGTGGAAAAATTTCATTGTTTTTGTTTATTAATAACCTGTATACAAAATGTACAGAATCACTTGAGTAATTCAGAGCAAGTAACATTTTAGTGGGTGATAGCTGTGTGCCAGGTTGGCTGTCTAGATTGGCCAAATTAATGGGATTAATTACTCCCTGCCTACTGTTTCAGAAAACAACTCTAGGCAGAGCAGGGTTACATGCAAGGACTGCTGTTGGATATTTTTCATTTATGTATTGGAGGCCAGGGCCAAATCACTTGCTAGTGTGGACATATGTTAGTTGAGTAATCACAGGCGAATTATTTAATTTAGTTTTGCCTCAGTTTCCTGCATTTATGTAGTAGGGAATATATCTGCAACTAATTCATAAAGGTGTCATAATCAAATGCATTATCTCATGAAAATGCTTAGATCCCAAGAAACAAGTCCATGAATGTTATTATCACACTACTGTATACACAGCACAAGCAAGGTCAGATAGAATAGATGAATCTTTGAATGGCTCTTGGGTTTCAAATAAGGTCTCTAAGCACTTTATCTGACTTTTATGATGTGTGCATGAAGGAGCTCAGCAGTCTTTAGTATTAGGAATAGGCCAGGGCATCCCAATACCATGAGTTTCCACTTCACCAGATCAAGGCAAATACTCAGTAGTGACTCTATATGTCCAGTACATGCTTAGTAGTTCGTGTCTCACTACCCAGGTGGGAGGAAAGCAACCTTTTCTTAGGACAGAAGTTTCTGGGGCTCCAGTTCCTGTCTTTTCTTGTTGTGATTTTTTCTTGCCTGTACAACTTGTTACTTTAGGCCCAGTCTCTGTCCTTGAATTACGAAGCCCATAGAAGCCCAAACCACCACAAATCCCTGACTTGCTCCTTGGTATCATTAGTTTAAGGGGAAAGGAGCACCTGAATTTCGCCCTCCTTTTAAGGATCCCCAGAGTGCATCCTTGAACAAGGCTTTGGGAAGGGTCACAGGCAGGGAATGCTTAAGGGACCAATTGTGCTTGTGTTTGCAGTTTGGGGTTGGAGGCAAGCTGCTTTTAAGCTTTATAGAGGAAGTGGGGATTAGGTGTTTCCAGAACAAGGTAGGTGCTGGCAGGCTTAGGTCATCCTTGTTGGAAAGGAATGCCCCACTTTCTTCTGCCTGTGCACTTCGCAGCCCCAGGTGCATTAACTGCTTTACCAGGGACAGTGGAACAGCCTACAGAGGGCTGACAGGCCTGGAACCCCCCAAGGGGGATGGATGGCCCAGGATGTCAGTGTTTTAGGATTGTAGGCTCCGAGGTTAAGTTCCCCTTTAGCCAGAAAGGGTCTGGCTGACTGTGTGGAGAGAAAGGTTGATTCCCTCCAACCTGCTAGCGGGAGCCCACTCTTCCACACGGTCAATCTCATTAACAGAATTTCCAAAACAAATGAATAAAAATACAGAGCAGGGCGTGCCTGCTTGCCTTGCTCCTGACTTTTTGGCCTGGAACGTTGTTCTAGCAGTCCACGACTCCCCATCACAATCACAGGCGCAAGACTCTTCCCTTAAGAGGCTGTGAGTTTTAGAAAGGAAATCCAGTATACTTATACTTCAAATTTTTTTGGAAATCCAGCCTGGGAAACCCGTTTCCCCACTTCTGAAGGACCGTGACATCAGACGGTGCGGGTGCACAGCCTTCAGCCTCCCAGCATCCTTTCTTGTGGGGACTTTGTGCAGTCGCGGATTGTTTCTGAGTTTCGAGGAGGAGAATTTGAGCATAAATTCAATTCTGCCTCTCGCTCCCATCCCTGCCCATCCGGACCACGGGGATCTCCCACTTCAGACCCAGAGAAGAGCCAGAGTCTGGGGGAGTGGAAGCTAGGATCTGGAGGCACAGACGTGCTGGCCAAGGTCAGGACCGCAGGCTGACTGCTAAAGGGAGGTGGCAGTTAGGCGCCGCCCTCTGGCCTAGCAGCCGACCTGGCTGGTGCCCCCTGCTTGGCTGCTGTCTGGAGCATCCCTAGGGGAAGGAGGGAGCGCCACCGGAACACTCCCCGATTCCCCGTGGAAGCTGAAGCCCACTGAGTGCCTTTTCGAGTTGTCCGGAAAGGAAGATCAGCTGTTGAGCACAGCTGAACTTCGAAAGGCTTTCCCTGGCTCTGCTTCTTTCCCTGGTAGAGGCTTTTGAGAGTCCCAGTGTTTCTGTCTACCCCAAAGGCAGGAACCCGAGTTTAATACTCTAGTAATGCCCGCTAGTCCGTGGGCCCACCACCTCAGCAGCCTGTTCCTCAGTGGCATAGGAAAATGGAGCAAGTTTACCAACCTCCTCAGCGGGAAATGCTGCACGAATCTGAAATATTGTTAGCGACTAAAAACTACAAACCAAAGCAAACCAGATACCAACTGAGTTCACTCCTGCTCAGTCGTCAGGGTCCTGGAATCGTTCAGGCAAACAGAGCTCTTCCAGGTCCTTCTGGAGGAGGACTTAATATCACCGTGTTAAAACATTTTACAGGCAAGGTTTCATAGAAACGTCTTTCCCACTAAGGATGGAATGTCATTATCTGCTTACATACAGGACTGCCTGTGGAAAGGGGGGAGGGCAGGATCCAACCCAATCCAACTAAAAATCACAGTTACCAGCTTTGGAACCACACAGTATTGGGTATTGTGAGCCATGGAGTGTCAGCCTCGTAGATTGGGCTAGTTCCCACTGCTTGCAGCAACTTTTCAACAGACATTTCCCTTCCCCGTTTCTTGATTGATGGTTGATTACAATCCTTCCTTCCAATACCCAGAGTTAAGTCCCTGTCTTCCTTAGGTTTGGGCCTTGAGTCAGGCTTCTTCCTCACATGTGTGAAGTGGATAAGTTTGCTCTTTGGCTGGCAGAATGTGAACCCAGAATGGAAAATCATTGCCAGGGCAGAGCAGTCCACCATCACCTTCATTCATTTACACTTTTCCTGGTTTACAGAATGAACTCAAGGTGGAAATGGCAGAGTTGTGTGGTTTCTCAGTCAGGAGGAGAGCTTGTGAAGGCTGTGGACCCTATGACTGTAGGGAAATTACTAAAGGTAGTTTAATGAGAAAACACAATGTTCTGGCTTCACGAGTCTAAGACATCACAGCACACTAAGCCTCCACCCCACCCCACCCCTCTTGGCAAACATCAATGCACCCCAACATTCCTGGTCCTCCAGTGGCCCCCACCGTTGTATGGCACCTTCTTAAATGATCTCTTTGAAAGATGACACCAACTCTCACTGAATTCCATGCTTCCTTCTTCCTGGTAAGTTTTATTCACATAGGTTCCAACCCTGGAGTAGGGGAGGCTTAAAGACTCCAACTACTCATTCTGGGAGAAAACTGCTTTTTATCGGGGTTACTGAGGGAGGGTGCTGAGTGCAAAGCAGGCAGGCTTGTAGACGGCCCAGTCTGTCCATCAGCTTTGCTCACATGGGAAGCGCCATCTGATCTCAACATGTCCATCACTGTTTGCTTAAGTGCCAGGGTAGGGTACAAGGACACACTGGTGTGTGCTCTCTCCCCCACCAGCTGTGAGAGCACAAAACACACGGGCCAAATCCAGTTCCTGCCTCCCAGAGAGTATGAAGACCACTTCTGCTGGAGCTACTGTTTGAAGCAATTGCTTGCAGTTCAGGAAAGGGAAACCACTTTGGTTTTGTTTTGAGACTCACTTAGAGACTGGGCCTGGCAATATTCCTGTTTAAGTTAATGCTGGGGAAGAGGGCAGTGCTGGAATTCCAGTGCTAAATTGTCTCAACTCCCTGTTTCCACAACTGTATATTCCATTTCACTTAATTCTTTCTCAGGGACCCCCATCTCCTGAAGCATAAGAGATTTAATAGAAGCACACCTACTTTTCTCAAGATAAAAACTGTCACTAAATTTAAGAGGTGGTATTGCATCCAAGAGTCACAACTGTACATACCCATCGCCATTGCTTATTTAAATTTACCCCCAACGGTTCTTTTAAGGACTTGGAAAACTGTAACAAGCGCTAACTGGGGAAAGAAAAAAAAAATCCAGTCAGATTCATTTTACTTTTTCAGATCAAGGAAAAGGATTCTGAATAAAAGAATAAAAAGCTTGAGGCAGAGTATTTTTTCAACACTCTTCAGTAGCTGTAGACTTTCCTCCACTAGACCTCTTAAGAGTCGTCCAGTTCCGCTTTCACTACCCCCCCCCATAACCCGCTTAACAATTCTTCCACCCCAGGCTTCAGGTTGCGGGGCGCAGGATCCCCCAGGTTTCCCCCGACCATAGCTCTCAACTTCAGAAGAACCCAGGAGAGAATGTCTTCTGCTCGAACTGCAGGCGGAACAAATCATTCACCCAGTTCACCCCCACCCCCGCCCCGAGCTGCTGTAGGAAGGACTTCGGCGGATCCTCAAGCTGGGACGCGCGCACGGGGGACCATGTCCGCCGGTGGTGGCCGCGGCAGGGCAAGCCAGGCCGGAGGTTGCGGCAGGGCCCTACGCGTCCTCCCGCCCCCGCGGGATGACCCGGTCACTCTGTGCCCAGCCACCGTGCGACCCCACACTCTCCTCCC